GCAGTTCAGACCCATAGTGATCCTTCTGTCTCAGACTCCCCAGTGCTGGGATTACAGGCGTGCACCACCACACCCAGTTTCAGGATCAGTATAGCATGTGGTACTGGGAATCAAACTTGGGTCCTTGCACTTGCCAGGCAGGCACTGAGACCACAGAGCTATCTCTCTAGCCCCCAGAATGGTCTTTATAAACCCTAACCAGAAGCTTGTCCAAACTAACCTAATCATATATGCTAAAAAAGAAACAGAATGGCCCTGACATAAATATGTACTATTTTGTTCTGCTCAGACATCAATATTTGTTGTTTTATTTAGTCTCATGCACAGTCAGCTTGTCTTTCCAAAACAAACATTCTCTCAAAAAAATTACTGACTCTCACCCTGGTTTGACCAGTCTTGTCTTCCCTGGTCAGTAGTAAAGACAGATATATTAATGGTGCCTTGCTATGGATTAATATTGGAAGTGTTAGTAAAAGCTCCTTCACACTAGCACATAAAATCCATGAGTGAAATTAAAATCTTGTATAGTTACATTCTTTTACACCTGCCTTGAAAAAACTACTTCAGACCACCTATACTAAAAGAATAGCAAAAACCCTAAAATGTACACTTGAACTTAGACTTTACTTACCAAAGGCACTGAACAGCTGGTAAAGGTCACTGCTTTTCCACTCTTTGGGGAATGTTACATGGAGAACGTGATCGCGTTTAGGTTGCACTAGGAGACAAGAATATAATGAAAAGCTGATAGCTAAGAAGTGATCAAGTAAACCAGGGGTGCCCTGATAAAATTAGCCCACACTAATCTGGGGAATTATCAGGAATGCCTTGTGAATACTGAAGAACTCCTCAATGTATTTTTAAGACTAGTGGGATCTGCCATCACAACCTAGACCTCAGCCTTTTTACTGTACATGACCTATCACACTTAGATCCTAACAATTCTAGGTGGAAACATTGCTTTTCATGAGATTCCTGTAGAAACAAAAGGCTACTCTGTTCAAGAAGCTTAAATAAACATTTGACTTTTTCCTTTTAAGCTAGCAGTTTAGATATTTAAAGAATATAGTGCCCAAGTAAATGAACTTTTTTTTTTTTTTTTTTAAATCAGAGGCAGTCTTTAGGCACATTCTTGTGCCCTAATCCCAGATCTGTCACTTAACTGTGCAACTCTAAGCAGGAGGTCTAACTACTTGGACCATTCCTGGCTGTGAATTGGGAATGTCAATATTTATATTAGGGAGTTATTATAAGGATGACACACTAATAAGTGCAACACAACAGTATGTCCTCAAACTATGGTTGCAATAATTACTATCACCAAGTACACTTCACCCATTTCTACATGCAAAGACACATACAGGTTTTAAGGCAAAACAAAACTGAAGCTAGAAAGAGCAATGAACTAGAAAAAAGGATGAAACAAAACAGCAACTAAACAGATGACTTTCAACATTTTGTGAAGTTTTTCTCTCTCTGTGTGTGTGTGTGTGTGTGTGTGTGTGTGTGTGTGTGTGTTGGGTATTGAATCCAAAGAGCATGTTACATCCGCAACCTTCCAAGGCTTTTATGGAAACTCACTGAATTAAATATATAATTATTTAAATAATTTGAAAATGCAAATTTTTAACAAGTAACTAAAAAAAAACCCCAAGTAACTGACATATATGAACTGTATTAAAAATCTATTATAAATATTTATAGGAAATGATGAAATGAGAATTATGAGAGGAAATCAAATAAGAAAATGATGTATTCTAAAAAAATTCAATTCACAGATTAACCAGAAAATATAAGATGACTAATGAAGGCCAAAGGATCTCATTAACTTAAGCAAAATATATAAATCACAAAATCACTACTCAAGGGGCTGGGGAGATAGCTCAGTGGAATAAGCGCTTCCTTGGCAAGCGCAAGGGCCTGAGTTCAATCCCTGGTGCCACCAAAGGAAAAAAAAAGAAAAAAAGAAAAAAGAAAAATCTCTACTCATGTATAGGGAAAAAAAGTTCTTTCTTGAATATTTTTCTGTTATCCCTTTTAGACCACACAATTAAATGTACAGACGCAATGACAAAATAAAAAATGTACTTACAGTCTGGTCCTTCCAAATTTAGATAGGGGATATCCATAACCCTCATAAGAAATAACCTATAAAGAGAAGGGGAAAAAAATAGATAATGAATAAATTTATTTTAAAAAGCTGGTAGAGACACCTATTAAAATGTTTTAGTAGAAGCTTTCTGATTATATTACTCTATTTCTAAAATAATTTATTTTTAAATTTTAAAAAAATCATGTATTTATTTGGTACAGGGTCTCCTATGCAGCTTGCAAATCACAGTGATACTCCTGTCTCAGCCTCTGCAGCACTGGGATTACAGGCATGGGCCACCACACCCGATTTTGGTGGTCTGAGTGGCATGCAGTACTAGGGATCAAATTAAGGTCGTTGCATTTGCCAGGCAGGTGCTTAGACTGCTGGGCTATCTCCCCAGACCTAAAATAATTTTTAAGTAGCCTTAAAACTCATTTTCGGGGCTTTTCTCAGACTATCATTTAAAAAATAGAATAAAATAACTAGCATATCCTCAAACAGTTCCTGGTACTCAGTAGTTGCTCAATGAATGATATTAGTAATCAAAAAATTGGAAGGAAGTTCTGTGCAAAGCTGCCCTGTCAGTTAGTCCAGGGAAACTCAAACAAAATAAATATCAGCCATTCTACCAACTTATGAATAAGCACTCCTACAAATTAAAAGGTAACTCTAATGAATGGTATTTGTGGAATAACAGCATCAGTTTATTTTTAATACACAAAATTACATTGTGCAGGGTTAAAAATCAAACCCAAGCCTTTTCATGGTAGACAACAGCTCTACCACTGAGCTATAATCCTGTTTTTTTTTTTTTTTTAGATGAAATGCAAAATTGCTGACTGAATGCCAATTTCTGTGGGTAAACAGCATAATCTGAAACAAGTGACTACCTTAAAAGTTCACATCATTATTATTGTTTAAACACAGGAAAAGCACAAAGGAAAGCAATTCTTTTTTTGCTGGATCCAGGGATTGAACTCAGGCCCCTGCACTTGCCAGACAAGCGCTTATCCACTGAGCCATCTCCCTGACCCAGGAAAGCAATTCTTGCTAAAGAAAATTATCACACAAATATAAACTATAGTATTCATTTTATAAAGGTACTTAGAAAAAGTACTTGTTAACTACAACTCTCTGTAATGCCATTAAATTTTGCTTTATTTGCAAGACTATGAACAAAATATCAGACATTCTATTCAGTGTAAGATGATTTTAATGAGTTTTACTTGGGTAACAATATATTGCATGCTTCTAGTAGACTACATTATACAGCAAATTAAAAAGGCACTCCAAATGCCCAACAAGCAATTAGTTTGGCTTCACTGACCTGCAATTAAGGCACATCATTACCAGGCATTCACAAGCCAAGCAGGGTATGATCTAGTTTACAAATAGAACCATCAGCATGAACAACACTGTCTGTTAATGCCCTGAAAAACCAAAGTCATGGCTGTCTGTGGTTTGAGAACTTGTATTGCCTACAATTTAACACACCAAATCCATGGCTACGAGATCAATTTTATTTTTAGCTCACTAATTTGAGCTAAAGTATACTATTCTGCTTCTGCAAGCTTTTTATCCTCATTTAATCAATATTGTTTGTAATGCCAAAAAATAGTAAGATACATAAAGCACCCAGTACAATAGGTTTTCAAGGATAAAGGCAGCTGTCATTACCGTTGTCAACCCCAAGATATTCCTAGATTAGGAGGCTCACTATTTTAATACTTCATGTAATTTTCAATCCTCTCTTCAGTAAACATAAGCATAGTCTCCAAATGCTAAAAAAAAGTTTTAATTAATTAAAAAGTAATAAAAGCTGGGGGTGTAGCTCAATGGCACAGCCCTTGCCTAATATGTGTGAGGCCCTGGGTTCAGACCCCAGCAACACATATACACATATACACACGTGTGCAGCTAGTGAAAAACATATACAGCACTTTTAAAAATAATTTAAAAACCCAGGGACATAACTCAGTAGCATAAGTACCTGCCTGGCAAGCATAAGGTCCCGAGTTCAATCCTCAATATAAAAAATAAATAAATAAAATAGAGCTGGGAATATA